ATTATTTTTTTTAAATATTTTTACAGAGAGGAAGGGAGAGGGATAGCGAGCTAGAAACATCGATGAGACAGAAACATTGATCAGCTGCCTCTTGCACAACCCCCACTGGGGATGTGCCTGCAACCAAGGTACATGCCCTTGACTGGAATCGAACCTGGGACCTTTCAGTCCGCAGGCCGACACTATATCCACTGAGCCAAACCGGTCAGAGCGATGAAAATTCTTAATGACAAAACTGATTATTATTTTCCAGTGTTTTCTACCTTTTCCAATAAAAAATAATACTTGTTAAAAAATAAGTATACATGAAATACTAATACTTTAGTGATTTATAAATGATCCCATTGTACCTTTAAAACTTATTACATTCATTCTGTTCATTTACATCCCAAATCAAAAGGAGAGCAGCATAATTTTTAGATAACCCTTCGAAAAGGCTAGGCTGCCAAACATGGATGAGTGGTATAAATCAGTTATTAGTTTGAATTAATAAATCAGCAGCATGAACTGAATGACAGTTTAGGCCTATATTGTCACATGCTCCAACGTCCTAGAAGATCAGCTCACTTGGGTTATCACTTGCTTTCGATGACCTATTGCTGCATAACAAGTCACTCCAAAACTCAGGCTTAGAACAACAGTCCTTTTTTTTACTCACAAGTTTGCAGTTTGGGCTGGACTCCTGGTTCACAGGTCCATGCTCATGTGCTCCCGGGACTGCCAGCTGTGGCAGCTCAGCTGGAGGCTGGAAGAGTCATTTTCAGGGAGGCTCGCAACATGGCTGGCCTGTGGTACTGGTTGCTGGCTAGGAGCTCAGCTGGGACTATTGGGGGGCAGGTCTCAGTTCCTCTCCACAAGCTGCTTGTGCTTCCTCACTAAACTCCAAGAACAAGACAAATGAGAATCAAAAAGAAGCAGCCAGCCGGTGTGGCTCAGTGGTTGAGCGTCAACCAGGAGGTCACGGTTCGATTCCTGGTCAGGGCACATGCCAGGTTGCAGGTTCGATCCCCAGTGGGGGTGTGCAGGAGGCAGCCGATCCATGATTCTCATCATCCATGCTTCTATCTCTCTCTCTCCCTCTCCCTTCCTCTCTGAAATCAATAAAATTACTTTTTTTTAAAAAAGCTATGTATGCCCAGCTGGCGTGGCTCAGTGGTTGAGCATCAATCTATGAACCAGGAGGTCATGGTTTGGTCCAGGTCAGGGCACATGCCCGGATTGTGGGCTCCATCCCCAGTGGGGGGCGTGCAGGAGGCAGCCGATCCATGATTCTCTCATCATTGATGATTCTCTCCCTGTTGCCCAGCCAGCGGCTCAATGGTTGACCATCAATCTATGAACCAGGGTTGGGGTTAGGGTTAGGGTTAGGGCTAGGGCTAGGGCTTAGTGCTTAGGGCTAGGGCTAGGGGTTAGGGGTTAGGTTCAGGGCTGGAGGTCACAGTTCAATTCCCAGTCAGGACACATGCCCGGGTTGCAGGTTTGATCCCCAGTGGGGAGCATGCATCTCATCATTGATGTTTCTCTCCCTCTCCCTTCCTCTCTGAAATCAATAAAAATCTATTTTAAAAATAAAAAAAACAAAATAAGTAATTTGTGGGGAGATACTTCAAGACTCTGTAAATGCTCATTTCCTCAGCTAATATTTAACCTACTACACTGAGCGTCCATTCATGATTCTTGCCTGTACCTTTTATCTTAATCCAGTGGTTCTCAACCTTGGCTGCACATTAGAATCACCTGGGAATCTTTTCAAAATCCTGATTTCTGGGCCTCATCCTCCGTAACAAAGAAACAGAATTTCCAGAAAAAGAGGCCCAGAAATCAGGATTTTAAAAAGATTCCCAGGTGATTCTAATGTGCAGCCAAGGTTGAGAACCACTGTCTTAATCTAATGATAACTATTTATTTGGTTTTTACTCTATTAATATTTTTTCATCCTCACCCGAGGATATTTTTTCATTGGTGTTTAGAGAGAATGGAAGGGAGGGAGGGAGAAAGGGAGGAAAGGGAGAAGAGAGAAAAGTTGATGTGAAAGACAGACGGACTGGCTGCTTCCTGCATGAGCCTTGACAGTGGCCAGGGATGAAAAGTGCAACTCAGGCACATGTCCTTGACTGGGAATGGAACCCTCGATCCTTCGGTGTCCGGGCTGACACTCTACACCAGTGATGGCGAACCTATGACACGCGTGTCAGAGGTGACACGCAAACTCATTTTTTTGGGTTGATTTTTCTTTGTTAAATGGCATTTAAATATATAAAATAAATATCAAAATATCAAAAATATAAGTCTTTGTTTTCCTATGGCTGCAAATATCAAAACATTTCTATATGTGACACGGCACCAGAGTTAAGTTACGGATTTTCAAAATGATGACACGCCGAGCTCAAGAGGTTCCCCATCACTGCTGTAACCACTGAGAAACAGCAGCGAGGGCATTACTTTATTTTTTAATTAATTTAGTTTTTTATTTTTCAATTACTTTACATTCAATATTATTTTATATTAATTTCAGGTATACAGCATAATAGTCAGACAATCATATACTTTATAAAGTGTTCCCTCCAATATTTCAGTAACCCCCTGGCAGTGTACGGAGTTATTACAATATTATTGACTATATTCCCTAGCCAACATTTTATTTTTTAAATTATTTTCTGTCTTGTGGTGTGAAAGTCAGACATGTATTTTATTAAAGTTGCCCTGGAATGCTGGCCAACATTTACAAAGCGTAAGACTTCCTGAAGGATAGCTGCGAAAACTGAACATTTAGGATTTAGGTATTTTATGAATTTTTTCGCCACATCCTATGCTGATTTCTTTGGAATATTTGCTCTTAAATTCTACCGAAGGGAATAAATAGCATAGTGTCTCAAGAGAAGCTGGATGAATAAAACAATAGGCGGATATATTGA